TATAATCACCATTTTGTTTGCTCAAAATTGGTCCCAAGTGACATGCTTTTGATGGTCAAATTGAGAATTAGGTCAGCTCATGTGCCAAAACAATTATAGCACGCCCTCTAGTGTAGTGTTATTCCAAAGAACCTCTTGAAATGGGAACCCCAATTTTTTTAACTACAATCTTTTTAACTTACCGGTCATAAAAAAGAATCATGTAGGTCTGTCACTTTTATGTGTATCATGTAATGCATGGGTTGCATTTTTTTTTGTAAGAAAATAAATTTTGATTCAATGTACAATATGATATATGAACTTTGATTCGGTATTGTGTATATTATTTTTTATATTTTTATTTAATTATACACTAGAATTTTATTGTATATTCACTACAACAAAATAGGCATTTAGCGGCGTTTTTAGCTCTATAGCGGCATTTTTAGCTCTATAGCGGCGTTTTTAAGCGCCTCTAAAATCTTTCCCGGCGTATATAAAAACGCCGCAAGAAGCGCCGCAAAAGGTAGCAGCGTTTGTGAACAAAAAACGCCGCAAAAAGTCTAGCTCTATAGCGGTGTTTTCTGAAAAACGCCGCAAAAGGTCAAGCTCTATAGCAGCGTTTTTCTTAAAACACCCCGCAAAAGGTCAAGCTTTGTCAAGCTTTATAGCGGCGTTTTAAAAACGCCGCAAAAGATCAAGCTCTATAATGGCGTTTTTGATAAAAACGCCGCTAATTACCTTATCTTTAGTGGCGTTTGTTTTCTAAAACGTTGTAAATGTGTGGTCATTAGTGGCGTTTCCTTCACAAAACGCCGCAAAAGAACCTCACTTTTAGTGGCTTTTATTTACAAACGCCACTATAGTTAACTGATTTCGCATATATCATTTTCTACTTTATATTACGCAAATTTAATATTCTACATCATTATCTAATAATAATAAACTTAAAATTTAATTACGACACAATTATGTTGAAAAATAAATCAAATTTTATAAAATTAAAATAAAATGTAACATAGTTCAAGATTCTTCACTAGAATTTATTCTAGGTTCTTTCTCTTTCAATAGAATAAAAACATTGTTCACTAGAATAAAAAACAATCTTCTAGTCGCAATTTTCCTTTTGGCATGCAACTTCAGTTGATTCTTTTCATCAGAAATGTACCTTCAATTCAAACAACAATGAAAAACAATGGATTCAAAAACAATATATTACAAGAAGATAAACTAGAAGAAAAAACATGATTCTAAACAATATTACCTCCTCCAAATTTCTTGCCTTCAGGATCCATGTGTAATGATTCATGAAATATGTACCAACATAAACTGCAATTTTTTAGTCAAAAGTCAAGGAAAATATCCATGAATATCGACTCAAAACATCTATAAAGGTTAAACAAAGATTTACATACAGCATGCTACATAGTGTAGAAGGACTATAACATATTAAAACTAAAAATGCATGCATACATATGGTAAGTACATCTCTTATACACTTTGTTTCCTTTCTGTTTCACACTTGTAAAACTAACAGGCAGCTTACAGTTCCAATGCTAACTTTCACATCAAAGATAGCTCTCCAACGTATCAATTATTTTTTTTCAGTCATATTTTCTACAATTTATTTATATTAAAACAATCATATCACTAATACCAAAAGATATGACATTTGGGCAAAAGATATGTGAAGTAAATCTGATGAAAACCAACTTGGTAATCAGCTAACTGTTTGTTTTCATATCAAAATGCAAAATAGAGGCAAAGCCATGATTAATATTTGCATTGAACACATCAGACTAATCGGAGAAGAAGAAGACTAGGATATCCACACAACTAGTGACCGGATTTCAGTCCCTCACAGCAGATCTATCGCATTACATCCCCGCGATTCTATCAGAGCTCTGATGATGTTGTAAGCATTACTTGCTCCATTGTTTCCTTCCGGTGGAAGCTGTTCATAAAAATTGTGACACATTCTTTTGTAGATCTGTGCTCAAAATGACGACTGATGATGTATATAATCACCATTTTGTTTGCTCAAAATTGGTCCAAAGTGACATGCTTTTGATGGTCAAATTGAGAATTAGGTCAGCTCATGTGCCAAAACAATTATAGCACGCCCTCTAGTGTAGTGTTATTCCAAAGAACCACTTGAAATAGGAACCCCAATTTTTTTAACTACAATCTTTTTAACTTATCGGTCATAAAAAAGAATCATGTAGGTCTGTCACTTTTATGTGTATCATGTAATGCATGGGTTGCATTTTTTTTGTAAGAAAATAAATTTTGATTCAATGTACAATATGATATATGAACTTTGATTCGGTATTGTGTATATTATTTTTTATATTTTTATTTAATTATACACTAGAATTTTATTGTATATTCACTACAACAAAATAGGCATTTAGCGGCGTTTTTATCTCTATAGTGGCATTTTTAAGCGCCGCTAAAATCTTTCCCGGCGTATATAAAAACGCCGCAAGAAGTGCCGTAAAAGGTAGCGGCGTTTGTGAACAAAAACCGCCGCAAAAAGTCTAGCTCTATAGCGGTGTTTTCTGAAAAACACAGCAAAAGGTCAAGATCTACAGCGGCGTTTTTCTTAAAACGCCACAAAAGGCCAAGCTCTATAGCGGCATTTTTCTTTAAAATGCCGCAAAAGGTCAAGCTCTATAGCAGCGTTTTTCTTAAAACACGCCGCAAAAGGTCAAGCTTTATAGCGGCGTTTTAAAAACGCCGCAAAAGATCAAGCTCTATAGTGGCATTTTTGATAAAAACGCCGCTAATTACCTTATCTTTAGTGGCGTTTGTTTTCTAAAACGTTGCAAATGTGTGGTCATCAGTGGCGTTTCCTTCACAAAGCGCCGCAAAAGAACCTCACTTTTAGTGGCTTTTATTTACAAACGCCACTATAGTTAACTGATTTCGCATATATAATTTTCTACTTTATATTACGCAAATTTAATATTCTACATCATTATCTAATAATAATAAACTTAAAATTTAATTACGACACAATTATGTTGAAAAATAAATCAAATTTTATAAAATTAAAATAAAATGTAACATAGTTCAAGATTCTTCACTAGAATTTATTCTAGGTTCTTTCTCTTTCAATAGAATAAAAACATTGTTCACTAGAATAAAAAACAATCTTCTAGTCGCAATTTTCCTTTTGGCATGCAACTTCAGTTGATTCTTTTCATCAGAAATGTACCTTCAATTCAAACAACAATGAAAAACAATGGATTCAAAAACAATATATTACAAGAAGATAAACTAGAAAAAAAAAATGATTCTAAACAATATTACCTCCTCCAATTTCTTGCCTTCAGGATCCATGTGTAATGATTCATGAAATATACCATCATAAACTGCAAATTTTTAGTCAAAAGTCAAGGAAAATATCCATGAATATCGACTCAAAACATCTATAAAGGTTAAACAAAGATTTACATACAGCATGCTACATAGTGTAGAGCTATAACATATTAAAACTAAAAATGCATGCACATATGGTAGTACATCTCTTATACACTTTGTTTCCCTTCTGTTTCACACTTGTAAAACTAACAGGCAGCTTACAGTTCCAATGCTAACTTTCACATCAAAGATAGTTCTCCAACTATCAATTAATTTTTTCCGTCATATTTTCTACAATTTATTTATTTAAACAATCATATCACTAATACCAAAGATATGACATTTGGGCAAAAGATATGTGAAGTAAATCTGATGAAAACCAACTTGGTAATCAGCTAACTGTTTGTTTTCATATCAAAATACAAAATAGAGGCAAAACCATTATTAATATTTGCATTGAACACATCAAAGCACCAATAGCCTCAAACATATGGATTCAATAAAGGAAATCACCCACTAACTTTAAAAACTATTCCCCCGGTTAAATTTTGACCATACCTTGTATTAATTGCCAAAACAAGATAAATAATAGCGTATATAACTTTCAGAATAAATTATAAATTCCTAGTTAAAATTTACTGTTGAAAGTTTGGAATGATAAATTTTGTTGGGGATTTCTCTTTTATTATTTTTTTTACCATGTGTGTATAATATTATACATGCTAGTCTTACCTATGACTTGATGCAGGAAGACTTCTGTAGTTCCCGGTCTTCTGTAACGATACAATCAATATGTGCACTGTAAATGGAGTAAAAATATTTGCATATGGACACAAGAGACAATGTTATACAAAATTTAGTAAGAATACCAACCAAAGTATACAAAGTTCAGTGGAATCAACATGGATGATAAAAGCACACACACACACAACAGTTTATTGTGGCAGAAAAAGATTCTACAACAGAGGTATAAAATGAACCCTTTCGGAGCTCCATTATTGTATTTATTGTTTCATCTCTATTGTGGTTGTTGTCCTGTCATATTAGATTAAAAAAATATTTACATATCCATAAAAGAAAAAAACTTAGATTATTCTAGCTATCTATAAAGCAAACTATCAACTATTAGTTGAAACAATATAATGTTTATAAGAGAAATAAGATTGCAGTGGTTTTTTAGTGTTATTTTTTTATGACGAACTGGATGATAGATTAAAAGAAATAGGGAAAACGGTTAAAGAATACGGTAGAGAGATTGAGAGTTCCTCTTTTTCTAATCTTTTATTTATATACAGACCTTTAATGTTGGTGTTATGATTAAGGTGAACAAGACTATTTATAGGTTGACATGATAAATTTGACTAGTATGGAAGATAACAAAAGGTGTCTTAATCCTCAACTAACTTCTAAATTAGGCTTAATTTTGAATGGTAATCTAATAAGTTAATGAATAAAATAATTTTAAAAGATGTGAAGCGAATGTTATCTCACTGATATATATATGTTTACTGCAATAGAACAAGATAATGAAGCAACCAGACACTTATTGTAGGCTAACTAAGGTAAGTTAAAGCTAAAAACTTTGATATGATATACATGTACATATACATATTTGGCAATGTTTACATTGGAGTTTAAAGATAGAGATGAGAGTTTTAGCAAAAAATTTTCTCAGTGCTGTAACACATATAGAGAAACCCATCTTCATTTTTGAAAGAATTATAGACAGACCCCATGAGACTTGCTGCAGATGTTAATGGTCAAAATTATAAAATGAAAAAAGGGTCAATAATTTCCGATTAATCGATCGGTAAGCAAGAACCATCCATGAATACATATGCTCTTTTACCTGTTTGAGGCAATGTGTTGTTCACAAACACAAAGAGAGCTTTTCCAGGACTCAACTGCAGCCTCCTAGTTAGAATGTGAATGAACTGACCCACCGACATGTCTCGAGGAACCAGGAACCTTGGTGTTCAAAATCTATTAACAAAGAAATGACAAGAAAAGAAGAATAAAATACTTATTCTTCTCTATATCTGGGAGGTTTGTCCTTGAATATCTTTCAATCATCAACTGGAGATATAAACAAACACATGGCAGGCAGGCAAAAGGTGATAAACAATCACTTTGGGTGTCATTGAGCCGAAGCGCATCTCTTTAGTAGTCACGTTTTGGCACAACGACATCCGAAGAGAACAATTCCTAGCTCGTGTGATGTTACACACACCAACAAACCATTTTCGGACCAAAATCTGTTCGATAAGAGATTCCAATAGACTTGACCATATTGCAGTTCATATGCTTATCTTAATCACACATAGTGTAATGCTTTGGGATGAATTAAGACAAATATATATAATTAAAACTTATAGGAACTCGATCTGGGTATTTGGTTAAAATAGTTTTTGATTCTTTTTGTCGTTGCTTTGCAAATATTAAAAAAACAATCAAAATGGTAAAAACCCAACAAAGTTTCCCATTTTTCAACAGTCCAAAAGCTTGTTTTCCATTTAAAAACACATACCCATGATAAAAATCCGTGAACAGTGAAACATAAGCTATATAGAAACAATGGGAGAAAGGTAAAATTTTGTTCAAAGTTACCTCACGAATCATGGCTAAACGTATAGTTTCCTCTTCAACGCGGCATAACTAAAGCTGAACTTTCTCTCGAACCTCCATCTAACATGCATTTATATTCAACTCACTCACGCTTCTCTACCAATAAAAAGAATACAAAAATATTGTCAAATTCAAATAAAAACCAAAACCTCACGAAATTTAAAACAAAAAAAGGAAAAGAAGAGAAATTAAGCAGTGAAATGAAGGGCGAGAGAGAAAGGTTAGAAGGGAAGGGAATTGGAAAGGAATTGAAGAGAGTAAAAGGGTAAAAATAGTAGATCAGAGAAAGTTCGAGAGAATTCTAAAGCAAGCAGAAGCAGAAAGTTGGAACTTTTAGGTGTTTCTTCTTCTTCTAGGGTTCAGACAGAAGAGAAGGACGAAGTGAATAAAATTTCCCCCTTTTGTACTCTCCTTCAGGTTTTTGGGGGTCCGTAGCTTGGTTTCTTTCGCTGGATCTCGGGGTTTCATCTTCTTGGATCTGTATTCCAGGTTCATCTCTAGAAAAATGAAAAAAGGTTAAAAAGGGTGTGGGACTTAGAAACCGTAACCTTGCGTGGTTTGTATTTACAAAAGCCACTAATATACTGATAAATTGCGGCGTTTATTCAAAAAACATAACTAAAGTACGAGTCTTTGGCGGGGTTTGTATGAAAACGACACTAAAGTATGGGTTTTTAGCGACGTTTGAAAAAATTGCCACTAAAGTACGAGTATTTAGCGGCGTTTGTATAGAAACACCTCTAAAGTACGAATCTTTGGCAGCGTTTGTGCTTAAAACACCACTAAAGTACAGTATTTAGCGGCGTTTATACAAAAACGCCACTAAAATACAAGCATTTAGCGGCATTTGTTCTTAAAACGCCACTAAAGTATAATATTTAGCGGCGTTTATACAAAAATGCCACTAAAGTACGAGCACTTAGTGGCGTTTGTGCTTAAAACGCCACTAAAGTACAGTATTTAGCGTCATTTATACAAAAACGCCACTAAAGAATAAGCATTTAGCGGCGTTTGTGTGCTTAAAATGCCACTAAAGTATAGTATTTAGCGGTGTTTGTGCTTGAAACGCTACTAAAGTATATTATTTAGCGGCGTTTATACAAAAATGCCACTAAAGTACATTATTTAGTGGCGTTTATATAAAAACACCACTAAAGAACAAGTATTTACTGGTGTTTGTTCAAAAAACGCCGCTAAAGTGTCGCTAAAAACCCATTTTGCTGTAGTGATTTTATATTTTGATTTAATTGTAACCTCTAGACTCGCCCTAGGAGTTATGGCCAAATTTAGGCGGTCACAGGTTGTATACAGAAGTCCTTTTCATATTTAAAAATCAATCCAAATCTATTTCAGTAAATAAAATCCAAGTAATGGTAAAATACAAAAATATCAATCAGAAAAGTCCATGCAGTAAACATACAGAGATATCAACGTAGGAAAGCAAAATATCGACAATATATATACATGAAGACATTGGCAAAAACATGTGTCACTAAAACATAACAAATAGAGCATACAAAAATATACAGTGATACAAAAATGAGGAGAGACTGCTCCTCCTGATGCCGAGTTTGCTAGCCTACTGTCTCGTACTATTTGAAAAGTTAAAAATTAAATAATGAACTAAAAAACCCAGTGTGTTTCTTGCGGTGTATAAAACATACAGATAAAATACTTCAGTAAAATTTGATTTATAAAATAGGTTTTGAAACATGAACACTACTCTCTTATCCAATCATCAACCCTGAACCATACACCCAAATGTACACCCGGTAAGGACCTTATACTGATAGCATAAGGGCATGTGGTAAGGACTTACCCTGTGCACAAAGCAGAGGAGCCTACAGTAAGGTGTTACAAGTCATATAATAAGCTTGAAATAATTCCTCCAATCATACCCCCAATGATAGTAAATGTGCATATATTTGAGTGAAATAGTAGTTTAATTTATTAAAATATTGAAACATGACAAATTCCATAATCAGATATAGAAACATGGTAACCAACGATCATGTTGGGAATACACGGTAAATCAGATATCATGCAGTCAAAATATTTATTATAATTCAAAATTTTAAAATAGTTCATAAAGATAGTTCAAAACAATATTGTAACATCAATAGGAACATACATGTATCGATTTAACAAGTTGGGTACGGTAACCTACTCTCGGGTCTGCCTATCACGATCGACGATAACACTAGATCCTATGAATTCAAAAATTATATTAAAATCCTAACATAATAAATAATAAAATTTAATTAAACTATTTACATAAACCTACGAGTAGCTCTCGATGAACGTAGATAACACGAATCTGTTGCATGGAAAGAATCATACCTAGTCGGCCCTCGGTCAGGAGAATCACAAGTACCTTCACGAATTTGTAATTACAAATTAATCTCATAATCAATCACAAATAACTATGTAAAAATGCTAAAAAATACTAAGTTTTTTTGTTTAATGGGCTCGATTTGAAGCTTTTGGGTCAGAATTTGGTGAAACAAGCCGTAAAATCAAGCTCAGAATGTCGAAAAACATCAAGATGAAGGTTTTTAAAAAAAGGTAAACACCGGTCAACGTAAGACACCAGTCAACGATGACAGTCAATTATCAACGACGGTAGTTAGCGGTCAATGACAGTCAACGATTAATGGCTCGACTCGACTCAGCTTGACTTGGTGCAGTACGGCTAGACTCGGTTTGGTTTGACCGATTCAGCACAGTTGGGCCGGTTTGACTCGGTCAATTTGGGTTTGGGCAAGAAGGTACATGGGTCGAGTTGGATACGAATTAGATACACGGGTTAGCGAGTCAGGTTGACCCTCTTCTAGAAGCCCACCATGGCGATGAATAAGCCCCACTAGTCATTGTTGTGCGTGGGGGCGCGTATAGGGTCTTCTTGGGTCGAGAAAATTAAAAAAAAATTATAAAAATATTTTAAGCGTTTTGAGACGCTTAACTAGCTCGGTTCACAACAATGAATGGTTGAGAGCTCAGTTCGATAATGTTACAAACTTGTTATCCATCACCCCTCCACACACTAGCGACGTTGCCGACAAGGTGGACACCAGTGGAGTCGGAACGACACAAAGGATCTAATGGTATGGGTTGTGCACTAAACGGAGTAAGGGTCGACAGTAAAACAACATTGAAAGATTCTTGAAGAAGAAATGTTAAAAGAGGAAAGTTTGAAAGAGAGGTTTTAGTTTCCAAAATTGGAAAATTTCGGATTTGGGAACCTTTTAGACTCATCCAAAAAGGAAAATGGAAAAATCATGCCATAAGCCCTTTAACTATTGAAACTTTTAGATTTAAATCCAATTTTAATTATAATTTCATTTTAGTCCATAAATTTCACTAAAATTTCAACTTAGTCCCCAAACTTAATTAAAATTCATTTTAGTCATTAGAATTAATATTAACAAAAATATAAGCTCTATTTTGGGGTGTGACAACTTTCCCCCTTAAAAGAAATTTCTTCGTCAAACTTTACCTGGTCTGAACAGATGCGAAAACTGAGCCTCCATCGGCTCCAAGGTATCCTATGTAGCTTCTTTGGGAATATGGTTGCTCCACTAAATCTTGACCATCGGAATCCGTATGTTCCAAAAAACTCTTTCGTCTCAGTCTAAAATATGAACATCCTCCTCATCATAAGACAAATATTGTCTCAAGTTTACATCCTCAACCTGAATGATGTGACTCAGATCCGAATGATATCACATTAACATAGATACATGGAAAACATCATGAATGCGACTAAGCTAGGGAGACAACTCAAGCTGATAAGTAATAAGTCCGACTCTCTTTAGAATACGGTATGGCCCAATGAATCTCGGACTCAACTTACGATTGCATCCAAATCTTAGCACATTTTTCCATGAAGATACTTTCAGAAAAACCCGATCCCCAACCTCAAACTCGATATCCTTCCTCCTCTGATCAACATAAGATTTCTTTCTATCAAAGGCCTCTTTCAAGCGATCATGAATCAATCTGACAATATCCTCGATCTCCTGCACTAACTCTGGACCCAACGTCCTCCTACCATGCAACTCAGTCCAACAAATAGAAATAAGACATTTACTTCCATACAGAGAGTCATACGGTTCCATGCGGATGCTAGCCTGGTAGCTGTTGTTGTAAGAAACTCGACCAACAATAGAAAGTCCTCCCAACTAAAATGGAACTCAATCACATAACCCTGTAGTATATCCTCCAGAACATGTATCACTCTCTCGGACTGACCATCAGTCTGTGGATGAAAAGATGTACTGAAGTTCAGACAAGTACCCAAAGCCTTCCATAATCTAAAATTGAACCTTAGATCTCGATAAGAAATGATAGACAACGGAACACCAATGTGTCTGACAATCTCAGAGATATATAACCTAGCCAGCTTGTCAGGGAATAATTAACTTGAACAGGAATAAATTGAGCTGACTTGGTGCATCGATCAACAATCACTCAAACATAATACTTTTTAGAATAAGTATGAGGCAACCCAGTCACAAAATCAATCGTGATGTACTTTCATTTACACTTTAGAATCATAATAGACTGCATCATACCAGACGGGTACTGATGCTCTGCCTTGACCTGTTGACAAGTCAGACACCTCACCACGTAATAAAAAATGTCATTCATTCCATCCCAATAGTAACGTTCCTTGAGATTCCTAAACATCTTATCTCTACCAAGGTGCATGGCGTAAGGACTACTATGGGCCTCTTAAAGAATATTATGCCTAAACTCATTATCCATAGGGACACAGTAATGACCATATAAACATATGACACTATCATGATCAAAGATATAATTCAAACGTGATATATGCTCAGCTTACTTGATAATGGAAAACAAAGAGCTATCTAGGAGTTACTTAGCCCTGATCTCCTCGGCTAAGGTCGGCTTAACCTATAACTTTGCTAATAGGCTGTTATCATCATACAAGCTCAACCTGGTAAACAAGGCTATCAGATCAGATACTCTCTTACGACTCAAGGCATCGACCACAACATTGGACTTGCCCAGATGATACTCTATCTCACAATCATAATACTTCAAAATTTCCAACCAGCAATGTTGCCTCAGATTCAAATTGTAATACCCTAGATTTTGGCTAGTGACTAAAATATAAGTTTTGAAAGTTTGGTGGTAAAAGTATAAACTTTTAAAAGTTTAGGGACCAAAAATATAATTTTGAAAGTTACATATTCAAGCCCGTAAATGAACAATTTAGCCTAAAATAAGAATTTTCTTGATAATCATATTTTTAGTACGAGATTTGTGTTAAACGTTATAAAGCGATAACGTTTGGTATTAAAATCGGATAATCTGATCGACCTAAATTTTAGGAAAATTTGAAGGGTGTTATAAAATGGTTGGAAATATTATTTCTAAATTTTAGATCAGAGAAATTTAGCTCAGATCAACGTAATTTTTCAGATTTTTCCAAATAGTGGAATTTTAGTGACTAAAATGTAATTTTCAAAAATTGCTTGGCCAAAGTAGAAAGTTAAAGCCAAATTGATTAATCTTTGACCAAGAAATATTTTAATGGAAGATATAGCAATAACATAAGGTAATTTTAAAGATTTATTAATTTGATGTTATGATGATTAAAATTGTAACACCCCAAATAACGGATCAATGACTAAAATGTAAGGATTTAAAAGTTAGTGGTTTAATCTCGTTAAATAGAAAAGTTCAAGGATTGATTTGGATATTTTTTTTGTAGGACTTATTAGCAAAGATTGAAGGTTGGAAGGGCAAAATGGTCTTTTTTCATGAAATAATTAAAAATTCATTTTAAAGGGGTTATATATAACATGCGGGAAATAGAGGAAAAGAAAAAAAAAGTCTGTAAGCTTGGCTTTCTCTTCTTCTCTTCCATCATATGCTTCCATGACTAAGGTAAGTTAATTGAAGTTGCTTAATTCATTTATTTTTATTTGGTTTTTGGTTCTTTGGGTAGTATAGAAGCTTAATAAAGCTTAAAGATTTGTTGAAACTAAGAGATGAATAAATTAATGGTGAATTAATAAAATGGAATTTTGAGGAAATTGTTAGGAAATGATGAATATTTGGATTCTAAAGGAATATTTGACTTGTCAAGGGTTTAATTAAGGGATTAGAAGTATCAAAAAGGATTAAGAACATGTTTGAAGAAATGATATGATTTTTATTCTCAAGAGTTATATGGATAAATTTGGATATTAAAAGGAGATTATTGGATATAAGTTAGTTGGGGTAAGTAAGTATAAAGGCATGAATGGGGTTTAAATTAGGAGATTTAAGTGAAGTTGTGTAAATTTTTGAAATGAAACAGAAGAATTCTGGGTAAGGGTATCCGTACTGGAAGAATAGTACCGATACTATAAGGTAAAAAATAAAAGGATTTAATAAGAGCCTAATGAATAGCATCGATACCAATTGAATTAGTATCGATAATAATGTGGAGGTATCGATACCAAGAGGAAGGTATCGATACTGTAATTGAAGTGGGAATTCTAGAATGCTAAAATGGTATCGATATCGAATTGAGTATCGGCACCCCAGAAGAGAAGTATCGGTACTATAGGAGGGGTATCGATACTACTCAGTCTGAAATGTTAAATTAAGTGTTTTATTTGTTTAAGTACAGATTAATTGGGCAGATGTAATTGAACTCCGATATTCATGGGTTATATTAATGTGTGGATTTGATCGGAAGCAAGTGCTGAATGAATAGATGTGTAAAGTTAGTAAGCTAAAGTGAAAGAAGTGTTGCTTAGAGCTTATGTGAGGCAAAGGTGAGTGTTATTTACTTAATTTATTTATGATTGGAGGAAGGCTTGCGATGAGTCAACCTCAAAATGTTTTTGAACAAAATTAAATGATATGATTATATGTGAAGATTTTCTATATGAGTATGTTTTATATAAGTAAATGAATAAGTTGAATAATGATATGTAATATGAAATAATTATGTAAATCACTATCAATGTATGATATATGTGATTAAATGAAAATAATGAATAATGCTATGTGAAACGAAATACTATGAGTAAATGGTTGAATGTGAATAAATAATAAAATTTGATAACATTATGTGATAATAATCTACGTGAAATGTTATTTGAATATTGTCTAAGTGGATATTTTCTACGAAACATAAATGATAAGTAAAAATGTTATAATGAAAATGTGATCTACGTGAACTGTTCTATGTGAAAATGTATTAAGTGAAAATGTCCTACGTGAAAGTAGACTACGAGAATGTACTCCATGGAAATAAGACACACTTTAAATAGTGAAATGAAAAATAACGACAAAGCTAAACCCCAAGGTATATGTATGAGAATTAGAGGTATAATTGGCATGCCAAGAGTTGAGGGTTCTACGCGGTCCTTCAGGACAATTCTACGCGGTCCTTCAGGACAATTCTATGCGGTCCTTTGGGATATTTCTATGCGGTCTTTCGGGACATATATATGTGGTCTTTCGGTGCATATTCTACGCGGCACTTCGGTGCAATTTATAAGAGCAGTGGTGACTGCATTAGTGTACAACTTCATTGCACTCACATACCTTCAGTTCTCAGTGATATATGTTGGGAAAATAAACTAAATTGATATAATTTGATTATAAGTAACATTATAAAATTTTAGTGAAATATTTCAAGGTTTCTATATGAAAGGTTTTTAAAGAAATGTGTTAGCAGATGTCAAATAAACATAAATTAATTAATGTTTAATAATATATATTATATGTTCTGAAGAATATATGTAGTTGTATGAAAGGTAAATGGATTATAAGATTGAATAATGATTATAAGCTTATTCTATTTATATGAAACATAAATTGATTTTCTTATTAAGTAATTTTCTTGAAAGATTTTAAAATTTTATATCTCTCATAATGCCTCACTAAGTAAATAACTTTGTGTGTGAGTGTTTTCACACATATTTTCAAGCGTATACGAGGAGTAAGCAGAGTAAGAAAGGACATGACAACATATCTTTGTAGATTTTCAGATCATAGAAATGTGAAATGTATGTGATAGTGTCACAGGAATGTTGTTGGCATGTACCATAAATTTAAAGTATAGATGCTCTGATATGTATTTTAACTATTATTTATTAAGTTTTGTTTTCCTTGTCATGTTTTAATCGTATTTTAAAAGAGTCAAAGAGTTTGAAAAGTCAATATGACACCTCATATTCATATCTGGGTCAAACAGGGATTGGGGGTGTTATATTTAATGGTATCAGAGCCTAGGTTGAGTCATGTTTTTGAAATAGACTAGCCGGTCAATTGTCAAAAATGTTTTGTTTGTACATGCCAACAAAATAATAAGTATCTCTGATCTGATAGGGTAATGATTATGCTATCATTGCAAGTATAATTAAGTGATTAGATATTAAGAGAAGTATGACTAAGATGTTTTTCGAAGTGAAAAGAGAATTAGAGTTAATAAGAGAAGTAGTAATGCAATAAAGTGAATAACAAACGCCTCAGGGAGTACTTTCCGAATGATAGATGTGATTTTTAATCGATTTCAATCATATAATTCCTCGATTTAGTAGAATAAATGTTGTTAAAGAGTTGAAAGTTTAGGAGTACCTGAGTGAAATGAAGTAACTGAAGAATGTCATGTTTATGCAGATCTTTGGTTAATGAGGAGAAAATTTGGTTGGATGGTCTATACTATTTTGAAACAAATAAGTTGGATATAGTGGTCTCGCTGCTAAGAGGTTGAGCACGTGTATGATAGATTATATGTGATAAAGAGAGTAAAGAGGTTCCCTACGAGGATGTTTAGAGGTTATTATTATGAAGATATGATTATAGGGTTGTTAAGCCTTCTTAATGGATGAGGAGGATACTTAAACTTTTATAGTTAACTTAAAAGATATTTTTCCTTGTTTAAGAATGTCCAAATGTGTATATGTAAGGGTTATATGAATTATCTGTCGATTGAGATGTAGAAATAAAGATAAGTTATGAAATTATTGATGGATTATAGTCCATAAAGTAAAGAAGCAAAGAAGAATAAATATCCTCTTTTGGGATTTATATTAATCTTGGTTGTAGATATATATTTCGTTGTTAAGTCCGAATAGATTGATTT